CAAATAATTCACCTCTACTCTGAACTCCCTCCAAATTTCAGCATACTTTTTAAACTGCTTGTCGCACAAAAAAAAAAAAAAAAAAAAAAGAAAAAAAAAGGCGCCAGTTGATAGGCAACAGTCTCTTTTGAAAACTTGTCTCCAATTTCTGGAGTAGAACACTTTCATGAACAAATCTCATCCTGTACTGGTTTTGGCTGGGATGGGGTTAGTTTTCTTCATAGTTGATGTTATGGAGCTATGTTTTAGATTTGTGCTGGAAACAGTGTTGACAATTCAGGGATATTTTTATTACTGCTCAGCGGTGCTTACACAGAGCCAAGGTCTTTTCTGCTTCTTGCCCCATCCCATTAGGAAGAAGGCTGGAGGTGCACAACAGCTGATCCTAGCCAACCAAAGGGCTGCCCCATACCACGTAACTTCATGTTTAGCACATAAAGCTGGGGAGAAATCAAGGAAAGGAACAGCATTCAGAGTTATGATGTTTCATCTTCCCAAGTAACCATTATGCCTGATGAAGCTCTGGTTTGCTGGAGATGGCTGAACACCTGCCTTCTGATGGGCAGTAGTGAATGAATTCCTTGTTTTGCTTTGTTTGCATGCATGGCTTTTGCTTTACTTATTAAACTGTTTTTATCTCAACCCACAGTTTTTTTCACTTTTAATCTTCCAAAGCTCTCCTCCATTCCACCAGAGGGGAGTGACCAAGCAGCTGTGTGGCGCGTAGCTGCCAGCTGGGGTTAAACCACAACACAGGCTCAACACAATGCCATTTTAAAAGCAAAGTGAACAATTGAAGATAGAGAATAAAAATGCACTTATTCCATTTTAACAAAGAGAAATACAATTGGACCGTAGAAACAAGTCTTAATTTTGGAATTAAGACTTTGAAAATGTAAATTTGACCTGTATGATCATGAAGACAACTGCAATACTGATAACATGGACTGCTCTGAAGTAAAACAGGTTAAGGACTCTGTTTCATCCCCTGGAAGCATCATTTCCCATAAACAAAATCAATTACTGTGTGCCCCATAAGTATCTTTGATAGAGACCTCAACTCCTTCAGTTTCTAAAGCAACTTCTCAAATCATTTCTAGATACAACAATTATCAGGAAGCAATCCTAAAACTATTTTAAAATGGAATAACCAAAATGTTGTCACATAGATTCAGTCCTTTAACACACAATTACCTTGAGGGCAAACAATCAAAATCAAATTAGTAAACCTTAAATTAACATAACTTTACAGTAGGATACTGCTTTTGTGTGTGTTCACATACTAAAGTTCTGTTGTCAACTATTAGATTACCACACTGCTGGAGAATTCTAGGCAAAACCTAAGTATCTTCACATTACAGCCAGTACTGCTACAGGCATCCTGTAACCACTGTTAACACTAAGTTAAAACTAAGAACAGCAGTTTCACTTTGACATGTGCTAAATACCACTGAATATGGTTATAATTCCATGTTTATTGTAGCCATACCCAACACTCCTGAAATGACTTTACAGTAAGATCACTATAATGAATGGCCTTAAACAAGTACTGTTTCAGCTGAACATATATACATGGTTATATATAAGACAACTTCCCTTCAATAGAAATAGTGTCCTAGATAATAAAAACGGAAATGTACACCTGCTACAGAATCCCAAGAAGTGTTGGGATAGATAGGCATCTATCACTGAATTTCCTCTTATCCCAAGGTGCTTTACTATTTTGTCCTATGTCATTTCACCTCTAAATATTCATTTTGCAGTGTTCATATTTAGGTTCATACAAAATAATGTTCAATGTAAAGCTTACTTAACATTTATCAACATCTGCAAGGGATCGGCCTACATTCCACTATTGAGTATAAATGTTTTATTTGTATTTTATCTTCACCTGGCCCAAGTTAAACATACTTTCAACTAAGTTGGCTAATAAACCATCTCTCTCAGGAAAGTATGGGAAGTCTGTAAAGATCGAAATGTGTGTTCCACTAACCAACAGTAAGAAGGAAAGCTCTGACATGCAGCAATATATTTGGGAGCAAGTTTGAATATGGTGAGAGTTCACAGACAGCAACAGTAACTAGATTGGGCATACAGATGCAATTCAATACTTCATATTTTATTTGAGACACAGAATGGTGAAGAGCATCATTCAGGCTTCTTGACTGTAATAGATGTCATCGACACAGTTCATAGAATCATAGGGTTCATAGAATAGTTAGGGTTGGAAAGGACCTTAAGATTATCTAGCTCCAACCCCCCTGCCATGGGCAGAGACACCTCGCACTGAACCATGCTGTCCAAGGCTCCATCCAACCTGGCCTTGAACACTGTCAGGGATAGAGCATTCACAACTTCCTTGGGCAACCCATTCCAGTGCCTCAACACCCTCACAGTAAAGAACTTCTTCCTTGTATCTAACCTGAACTTCCCCTGTTAAGTTTGAACCCATTACCCCTTGTGCTATCACTACAGTCCCTAATGAAGGGTCCCTCCTCAGCATCCTTATAGCCCCCCTTCTTCACAACATTTTGAAGTCTCCAACTCCAAACACTTCCCATCTTCCTCCTTCGTACCAAAGAATTTAGCCACCCTGACAAGTTCCATGCCAGCTTATACATACAGTCAGCCTATTTGCAAAATTAGAATCTGAAAGCTCTTTGAGGTCTGACCAAAATATGCTAACAGCTTTGGGGGTTTTGTATAAAGAAAGCCAGAACTAAATTCTTGACCTTGCTGCACATTCTAAAGAGACATTTCTGGTGGCAATCTGCTGGCTATCTAAAAACTCAAGACCTTCTGCCCCATTCTGAAAACTGCCAGTTAAAAATTACTTAATGTGAACCATCATCCCAAACATGCTTGTCTCTTGTATACTTCTACCACTTACAGAAGTTTGGTCCATATTTATAAATCAGAGTCATGTGGGCCATTTTAAACTTCCTTTAAAAAGCACAGTTTTAATTTCTCATATGCCCTGTAAACTTTATCACTGAATAATCACATTGCTATATTGCACTTTGTATCTCTTGTCTAAAAAATAAGGACAGAAGCAGATACCCGTATTTCATTCAAAAGCAGTATTTATTACTGTGACTACATAAAACACTTTACCATTAATGGATTCACATGCATATTGTATACAATCGTCTGTCCCCAAATAGATGGGTGTGACTCAACATTTTGCCAGTGGGGCTATGAATACACCCTTAATCTATTAAGAGTTCATGTAAGTTGTTATCAATTAAATGCACACACTCCACAAACTCATATACAAATGTCACAGACTCAAGATAGATTCAATCTCTATCCAGACCTGTGATTTTTACACAGTAAACCAAATCTTAACCTTTTCACAGAAAAAAAAAATCACTTTCTTTCCAAAGGACAACACAATTAAAAGCATCTTTTATAATAAATAGATATGGCAGCTTTTCAAATCCCTCGCTGCAGATTCTCCAGCAAGCTCTATTGAGATGAAACTCTCAGTAGCAAAACCAGCTAAAATACTACTGAAGAAAAGTAGGAAGTGATATTACACTTAATACACCTTTAGTGCCTCCAAATGCAAAAGCTTCTGCCAACACAGTCAAACAGCAGAAGCAGCATGGGGAGCTATATGGTCTGACATTAAATAAGGATGTTCAGATTCTCCAAATGGCTTGAAAGTGCAAAGTATTGAAATGGGAAGAGAAGACATGACAACAGGAAAAAAGATGCCCTGCTCAAGGTGAAATGAAGTATGTTATTGAAGCATATACAGAGTATGCTAGAAAACCAGATATATATCACTTTAAATAACTTGGAATTTTGCAGAGTCCTGAGTGGGAATTCAGACTAGAGAAAATTAGCCCAAATAAAGTGCAATGATAACCTAAGAAGTAATTATAGAATTTACACTTCCCTGGTTTAGAAATATTCTCCAAGCCCTTTCAGATGTGACATTATTATGTTTGACACAATTATGAGACCAGATAACATAACCACACATTAGTTGCCTGTTAAAACATTGTCTTTTGGTTGCTGGCAGCCCAATGTCAAAGGGCACAAAGAACTATGCTTAGAGCTACCAGAGTTAACATCTCCCACCACAATGAAACTCACCCAAGCCAATTGTTTCCTGACCTGCCTATCTCAATAATCAAATATTCATGTGTTCAGATACCATCTGTCCCTGAGCCCTTTCCTAGGTTTTAACTATCTAATCAATTACCTGATAGAAATAACTGTGAGCTGCTTCCAAGCAAAAAGACACGTTTGACAACACTGACACCAAGTGACAGAACTCAGAAAAATAAAAACCGAAACAACCCCCACATAGAAATGTTCAGAGTATTTCATCAATTCTCTGAAAGAGGCAAGGTGTCTTTTTAACAAGAACACAAAGTGAAGACCTATTATAAAAGATGACTTTTTCACAGAAGCCACACATAAGTCACAGGTCCAACATTAAATATATGCTAATTCTATTTCACCTTGACCTTGCAAGCACAAGTCAAAGACCACATACACTTGAGTTTATGCAATCTAGCCTCAAATTCATTTCTAAAGAAGAAAAAAACCAGTGGTTTGCATACATGGTTAACATCTGATTCTATTAGTTTGCATGGACTTAGTTAATTTTTCAAGTAAAAAAAAAATCCGAACAGTACTCTTATGCTCTTTAATTGGAAAAAAACCAAACCAAACCAAAAAAAAAAAACCAAAAACCAAAAACCAACCAAACAAAAAAACCCACCAAAACATGTTAATTCAAAGCTTAATAGTCTGCCAAGTCTCACTTAGTTGCTTTACCTCTCTGCTGACAAATCAAAAAAATGCAGTTCAATATTATATGCATTAAGTAGAACTGTCACCCCTCCTACTAGCTTACCCGCTGACATTACAAGAACCATAAACCCTACTCACAGAACAATAACTCTACAAACACATCAGTTTTCCCACCCACCATGTTTATGCACAGTATTCTATGTCTTTCTACCAAGCTTCCATGTTCTTACCTGCTGACGCCTGTGTGCCAAATAATCAAGATTTTCCAGATCTTTTCGAAACTTCTGGTAGATTTTCTGTAGATTAGATCTACTGGATAAATTTCTTAAAGATTCAAATGTTCTTTGAAACTGTGATGGTAAAAAATAAAATAAAATAAACAATTCACACAGTTGCTGTATTTCCTGCTCCATTAGGACTTTATTCTACTAAATACTCATGTTACGGAGCTGTGTCACCTCTTGTGTATACTACCTTCCAGGCATTCCCACAATTCTGTTTTGAAATCAATCCCAAAATTTAAAGCATACTACAAATGTCCTGCTTAATTAAATTAAATCCTCTAATTTGATAGCTTAGACTTGCATAAGACAAAATACTAGCAATCAACACAATCTCTAAAGGTTAGTTCTTTTTCTATGCCATGTTACAGGATGAAAAAAAAAGCGCCAAGCCTTTTTTAAAAAAAAAAAAAATTAACTAATAAAAGCACATGCAACTTTATAAAGGCCATGAACTCCTCATTCTCTCATGCACAACAGTAGATCTTACATATAACAGGGTACTCCTTGTCAAGTTAATTTGCTTCAGAGTAATTTGCCAGATACTGACCTTGGGCAATGTGCTCAAATTCTGTATGAAAGCTGTGACATTAATTATACTCCATTACAGATCTTACTTCTAAATTTAAAACTTCTTTTATGCATACACTATTATTAAAAATAGTACTGGTATTTTTCAAAGAGATGAACACCACTAACCCAGCTTTAGAGATCTGTAACAGAAAGGCTAAGATTTGTGCAAAAGGAGAATGGGAGTTACAGCTCCTTTGCCACCTTCAGGAAATCATGAACCTTCTCCTCTGACTTTCTCTGTTTTCCCATCTATAAATATTCTTCTTCACCTCATAAGCATGTTGACAGCTGCAAAGCTGTAAGTAGTTCAGAATTATTATCACAGTGATTACCACCAGAACCAAGTCCATAAATGCTTATTTACACTGATATAATCTTGAAGAACTACATGTCTTCTGAATGCATCCAAAATATTGCCTTAGCTTACCTCAGTTACAGGCCCTGTAGATGATGCACGTACTGTAAGCTTGCATATGGTACTGATGTCTAGGCAGTGAGGCAAAAGACCAAAAGAAATGGACTACTTTCCAGTCAGTTCTGAAAACCAAGTACTTCACTAGTAACTACAGTTCACATTTCTCTAATCCTACTGAACTGAGAAAACGAGCCATAGGAGTAGAAGATTTAAAAAAGAAAGAAACAAAAGAAAAAAGAAACAAAAAATACTTCACTCATCTTCAGTCCTTTTAAAAAGCTGACAAGATATTTGACCACTGCTCCACAGTGTTATGTGTTCTGTGGGCATTTGACTGGACTGAGATCAAGCCCAAGATGTATACAGTGTTGAACAGTCACTACGTAATTCTTCTTCAAGGATAACAATAGAGAGATACATCCTGGATCTTCAGGCAAGTTAGCACTTCTGTTTGCCATGTTGCAGCCTTTATTTCAGTCTCACTGCTCTCATAACCAAGAAGTTAAGGCAGTGTTTATATCTCCTTGTAATTTACCTTACTATACATCATTCAGCACCACAAGAGGTTAGATGGAAACTCACTAGTTGCATTTAAAATGTGTGCTATCAGAAATTAAAAGAAAGCTTTCTCACCCCATTCACTTTATGGAATTTTTTAACAACATGGGTGACAACATAAATGATAAAACAAAAATGCAAGAATCTGTTCTTTTCTGTTTGACTTCATTATCTTTCATTTTTCATAGGGTCTGTTGTTTTCATGTTTTCTCTGCTCCAGAGATGCTCTTAAAGCCCTGATTCAGAATGCTTGTTTTCAGTTTCCCACTCCAGAATAGCCCTCTTAGGTGGAAGCAAATTATTTGCAACATTTGCAAGCATGACTCAAGTACAGTTTAAGCTGACCAAAAGCTATCCATAGTGCTCCCTATATATGTGTGGAAGAAACAGCTCACCATATATCTGTACAAGTTCATTATATACCTTCAGCTCCAAATCATGACACGCCTCTCCAGAAATTACCCCAAAGCTGCTGCCCCTGTAATGGAGTTGAGTAATACAAGGAAAAGGTCTCTAATGATTCCCAAACTCACTAAGCGGACATAAGGTAGCCTTTTCTTTGCGCTCGCTTTTTTGTTTTTTAATCATCAACATGTTAGGCTACAGTAAAGTTGTAGAAGCAGCAGTATCATCCAGCTAAGGATGTACTTAATATCATAGCTTCAACTCTTCCTTTGGCAGGAAGTCTACTAGAAAGCTCACCCACTTCCGTATGTTCTGAAGCAACTTAAACATTAATAATGCATTTAGCTCTATGAAAAGAGATATAAGAACCAGCATGTGAAGATAAGTAAATACAAACCAAATGTGTAATTCTAAGGATAATATACTTCAATAAAATAGATGAGTAATAGTCAGGACATCCACTTGGAAGAAATCTGTCCTTACATACAAGGAAAATCCTTTTTTCTTTTTTTTTTTTCCCTCCATGAAAGTAAATAAACAACCAATTTTAAGAAAATATACACATGCTCTTTTCACTGCCATCAATATGAAATCAGACAAGTATGCCTTGGACGTATAAAGTTTTTCAGAAAACATGTTAAACTTAAGATCACATCTGGACCTTTGTGTGCCATTCTGCTATCAGTGTGAACCACCATTTTGGGGTGAATAGCAAGACTGACACGAGGACATTAAGGTGCATTCATGAAAATTACAACAGAGTGTGGCAGATGGGGGTTATTTTCCTTCACTATTACAACCCATGACTCTTAAAAAGGCAGTGGCTGAGCAGTAGAGAGGAAGGCTGCATATTTATCTGCCCTGCCACTACTAAGGGAAAAGATCTGCTCCTCCTATACTCTGAATTATGCAGACACTCTGAAAGAAATGGGTAACGATCCTCTCTCAAATCTACCAAGCATACTTTGCTCATGGAGACCCTTGTAGAATACTCAGTAGGCCAGGAAACAGTGAAAGACAAGGTGCCTGCAACAAAAACAAAACTAAGAAGTAGAAATTCCCAAAGGAGCTGACCCATACCTAAGTCTTAGATGAGATAGCAAAGAACAGTTTTCAGTGCATGTAAAGACACTGAAGAGTATTGCTGACATATCTGCTGAGAGGTACTGAACTAGAAGACTGAAAGTAAGGCTCTACATTGCAAAGAAGCAAAGATTGGATTTGTTTCCAAACCTTTTCATTTGAGCGTGTTTTTAACCCAGCAATTGTGGTTTTCTCTTGGAAATACAGCCACTATATTTCATTGGTTTTCTTGCGCTCTAGTGAAGTAGGTTTGGGAGCCTTCGTGCTTCATTACTTCAGAGAAATTCTGGAACAGTAGTACCTGAAGCTGGCCAGCTAGGGTCCCTTCAAAGCCATGTGTCCAACAGGCAACGAAAGGATAATGCTCTTTTTTTCAGTGATTCCCATGTTAAGACCAAAAACAGATATTACATAAACAGAACTGCAGTCACTGGGGAGTCTGTTCCTTTGGAATGGTTTGTTAGAAGAGCCATTAAAAATATGACTGCTTCAAGAGAAGCCCTCGGGGTTGGTAAAGCTATGAGTCATTAGGGAGTTACAAAGCAGCAGTCAAGAAGACACACTATACCAAGAACAGAAGTGGACCCAGGTTTCTATTGCACTCAAAATGATAATCGCTTTGAAAAGCCCAAAAATAAGTCTTTAGAAGCTGCTTTTTCTCTGTTGTTTACGGCACATTACAGACTGCCACAGAATTTGCAAAGTTCAATGATAAACACTGTAGCCCTGAATACAAACAACTGCCTTCCACATAACCACATACTGACCTCAGATTAGTAGCAAGAATCCTTTTCTGCTGGTTGATGAGAAAGTAAGTATGAGCATGAACCAAAGGGGATGCCAAATCCTCTCCCAAAGACTCCTGTCATCTCTTCATATTCCTTATTTTCAGAGATCTCTCTCCATGGAAACAATCCATGCCCACCAAAAGAAAGGTGGGAAGAAAGTAGAACTTAATGTGACTACTGACATAAAAGACAATAAAAATGTTTCTATAAATACATTCAAAAAAAGGACCAAAGAGAATGTACATCCTTTATTGGATGTGGCAGGAAACATAGTGACAAAGGATGGGGAAAAGGCTGAGGTACTTAGTGCGCTCTTTGCCTCAGTTTTTAATAGTAAGACCAGTTGTTTTTTGGGGTACCCAGCCCCCCATAATCCAAGGGGTTAGTGACCCACTACACCACTTAAACATGTACAAGTCCATGAGGCCAGATAGGATCCACCCAAAGGTACTGTGGAAGCTAGCAAAAGTGCTCACTGAGGCACTTTCAATCAGCCATTTCTCAGCAATCCTACCTAACTCGGGAGGTCTCAGTTGACTGGAAGTTAGCTAGTGTGATGCCCTTCTATAGGAAGGGCTAGAAGGAGGATCCAGGGAACTACAGGCCTGTCAATCTGACATCAGTGCCAGGAAAGGTTACGGAGAATATAATCTGAAGTGCCATCATGTGACAACCAAGTAATCAGGCTCAGTCAGCATAGGTTTATGAAAGGCAGGTCCTGCTTGACCTACCTGATTTTCCATGACATGACCCACTTAGTGGATGAGGGAAAGGCCATAGATATTGTCTGCCTAGACTTTATTAAAGCCTTTGACACTGTTTTCCACAGCATTCTCCTGGGAAAACTGGCTGCTCATGGCTCAAATGGGTATACCCTTTGCTGGGTTAAAAACTGGCTGGATGGCAAGGCCCAAGAGTGGTGGCAAATGGAATTAACTCCAGTTGGTGGCTGGGCACAAGTGGTGTTCCCCACTGCTCAGTGCTGGGGCCAGTTCTGTTTAATATCCTTATCAGTGGTCTGGACAAGAGAATCAAGTGGACCCTCAGGAAGTTTGCAGATGATAAGTTGGGCAGAAGCATCGATCTGCTTAAAGGTAGGAAAACTCTCCAAAGGAACCTACACAGGCTGGATCAATGGGCTGTGGCCAGTGGTATGAGGTCCAAAAAGGCTCTGTGCCAGGTGCTACACTTAGGACACAACATAAATGAAGACTACAGGCTTGAGGAAAAGCAGCCAGAAAGTTGCCCAGCAGAAAAGGACCTGGTGGTATTGGTCAACATCCAGCTGAATATGAGCCAGCAGTGTATCCAGGTGGCCAAGAAGGCCAACAGCATCCTGGCTTGAACAAAAAATTGTCAGACTACGGAGGTGATTGTCCCCCTGTAGCTGACACTGATGAGGCCACACCTAGCACACTGTTCAGTTTTGGGCCCACTGCTGAAAGAAAAACACTGAGGTGCTGGAGCGTGTCAAAGGAAGGATAATGAAGCTGGTGAACGTTCTAGAGCACTACTCCTATGAGCAGCAGCTGAGGGAATTGGGGTTGTTCAGCCTGGAGAAAAGGAGGTTCAGGGGAGATGCTATTGCTCTCTATAACTACCTGAAAGGAGGTTGTAGTGTAGCTCAAAACATTTTTAATGCTATGAACACTCTGCAGGGAAGGGAAGAATAGACAGCACTATGCCCACAGGTCCCAAGTTCACAAGTTGCTGCTTATCTGCAGCCATTCTATTATTTCTTTTTTTCCTGGCAAGAATTTTAAATAACTGTAAGCAAGCATTTTATAAAGATCACACTGTCTGAGGCATTAATGAAAAATACTGAAGACTAAAACAGTAAATCTACAAGCATGACAAGAAGGGAAAAAAGGCAGATAAAACATGTGGGCTCAGCATGATCTGAAATAGTTTAGAGAAAGACAGACTGCTAATGTGCTTTTGAGTGAAATTCTCAGAATTTGTCACCTTCTTGCTGTTCTCTCCTGATCAATAAATTCCAGCAATTCCATTAGTCTGTTAATTCACTTAATTAAATAATATGGAGCATTACTAACCATAGTGAATGAGGCTGGTAATACAGGTCTGAAACAGTGCAATAAATGCAATAGCCCTTTGATTACATTTTTTACAACTTTTTTTTTTTAATTAGATACCTCAATCTCTAAGATTAGTACAGAAACTCAGATACAGCTATTTATTTAAATTCTTCCCCATTAAAAAAAAAATATTGAGTTGTTTCAAGGAGGAACACCCTTTTCATCACTGTGATGTACTTTTTTTCTTAGTCAGCTCCAAAACGAACTTGCTGTTTGCACCATACCATCATAAACCAGCCAAATTCTCTTTATCGGTGAAATTTCAGAAAGGTCTAACCTAATCTTCACAAAAGCATGGTTTTGGACATTTGGAGCTAAATTCCTGCCAAGTTCATCAAATTCCTCCAAAGAGACCGACCTGTTATTTGTAGTTCAAAACTTGCATTTCAGGTTTTTTGTGACAAAAATGTTTTTATTTTCAGCATTTTACTCTTTTACATGAAGATTTTATTACACAGAAGTCAAAACCAGTCCAAAGTCTAAGTAAAATATACAGAAAACACCACTCATACACTACATAAACTGGAAGGGGGTAGCTGACATTCCTCCTTTTTTCTAGATACACTTAAAATGGCAGATGTGACAGGTAAGACTAGACAAGACTTTATAGGACAGCTAAGTCATATTGTCATTGTTTCCTTTCTATTTTTATTCACAGATTACAGACAAAATTAAAGTTTAATGATCCAGACTACATTCTACCAGTACATGTATGGTTTCAAACATTTTGAAAGTCAGTGCTGGAATTAACCAGCTTTACTGAGTGAGCAAGACTAAAAACCTTCATCAGGCTCTGATAAATGGGTTTGAAAAATATATAAATAGATCATTCTCCATTAAATATTTCCGTATCAAACAAAAACTGACTAGTACTCTACAGAGTTCTTTGATGATGCTGGACAACTTTGTTTCATTTCATACATAAAACCAGAAAAAAAAAATCCTTGGTTAGAATTTTCATTTCATTTATTCTCCTATTACTTCTTTTTTTCAGTTTCAAAAATTAATTTTGGCTCAGTTCTTTAAATGTCTCCATTTTATTTTATGAGAATTATAGAGATTAGAGTTATGGAAATAAAGGGCAATGAAATTTCTCATCTCTTAAATGATTCGTAAAGCTGTAACATCCATGTCTGTGAAGAGAATAGGCTAGATGCATTAAACTTTTAAATCAAAGAAAAACTGCTCATGACTTTTAAAAAGACTTGATCTTAAGTCATATGATCATGCAAACATTAAGACTATTAAAGCTAATACAGCAAAGACAAGGTCTATTTTCTACGCTGCATCCACTGTATGAATACAGTCTTTTTGGCAGAGCAATTCCACATTGAAGAAAAACTGAATTCCTAAGGGAGTTATAAAGTATTATTAAAGGTAAGGACTTCAAAAAGAGCAAAATTGAGACTCATTAAAATACTTAATCGCATTTAAATCTGGCTCAGGCATGAGCAAATGTTGTTATAAATTGAAAGATGTTCAGGAGCATATGTTCAAAGTATTCTAAGTTGATTTCCTGATTAGGTATCAATAAAAAAAGATACCAATACCACTGGTAGCCAGGGCAGAGACTAAATAAACATGGAAAGTGTACCACCTTTCTCCAGGGACTAGGGTGAGCCTTTTTACATAGATATTTTGGAGAGTGTTATGCCTCACTCATTTATTCTAAGAGTTAATTAAAGAATTCAGTTGTCATTCTTATTCAGAGAATTAAATTAAAGTCTGAAGAAGAACAAGAAAACTTAATTGCACTCTTTGCAGTGTTGGAGTTTTTTCTAAATATGCTTTTCATTTTCAAATGGAAAAAATGAAGTGAATTATACAGTTGTTTAGAAACACTGAAACTCTAAGGAAAACTACCCATTTTATGTCTCTCATGTAAAACATACTGAAAACATTTTAGAAGGGTGCATCTAGGATTATGAAAATGAATATGCAAAACTGTAATAGGCTACCAATGAAAAAGATCATAATTTAAGAAATTTTCCACAAATGGTGCAAGAGCAGTCCACTCCTCTTAGAGCTGACAAATTTCATATATATGTAACAAAACAGAAGTTTCTGCAAGTCAGAGCTCGTTTAGCTTGTACTGCATCTCCAGCAATTGCCAACATTTGATGTTTCAAACACAGCACTGAAACCCACATAACATTGTTTTATGATAAAACACTGTTACTACTGTGAGTGGGAGCTAGATTTTCATTCCTCTGTCCTTATCAAACTGAACTTGCTTCAACAGGGTCCCCTTTAAGTGAGGAGGTTCTCTTGTGGCATGAGGCATTATTAGAGGTGGCACCGATTATTCACCTCTATCCTGAAACATTAAATCAGTCAATGAAACTTAGAATTTTTATCATTTTTATCACATTACTAAAGATGCTAGGAGGAAAAAAAAATACAACAACAAAAAAAATAAACCAATTTCTTGCTCTTCCCAGCAAAGACGGACTGAATGGAGTAAGGAGCCAGAGAAGAAATGTCAACAAACACATTTCTGTGGTCAGACACATGATCACATAATGCTTGAAAGGTTAAAATCACACTGTTCAAAAAAGGAAAGAAGCTTGCTCACACGGGACACTACAGCTGACATTAAAGGAACTTGAATTTATGTAGACAGGAAAGTATGTTGATGTTGAGCAAAAGAAGTGTGGACATTTTGCCTAATTCAGCAATAGCGACAAAATCACTGGTTAGTTTTATATGAGAATAGAATGAAGCCATCCCTTCTGTATAAAGAGAGCCAGGTGGAAAAAAAAAGGTGATGCAAAACACAACACTTACAATATGCTTCCAAAATACATTATTCCTTTGAGTAAAAAAAAAAAAAATAATAAGTGTCTTTTAGAGAGGATTTTCTACTGCACAATTTTTAAATCTTTGCCAGCATTAGGGCTTTCTAGTCTTCCATCTGCAGTGTACAAATATATAGCTGGAGTTGGGGGTTGCTACAGGCCTCTCTCACACATCTTTCCTCTCTCCTTCTAGTTGATGTCTTCCACAAAATTACTTAAATAGACATAGGTCCTTACCTACTCAGTTCTTTCCCTTGTAAACATCCACATAAAATTCCACCTTCAAGATTCCCTACAAATAAATTATTCCCTACTACTGCCACAGATACCAAGACTTCATGCATGAAAAGCTATGCAGCAATAAAGTAATAAAATAGGAAATGAGAAATCAAAAGAATTTAAAATACAACTGTATGGATAACCATCCGTTTCCCCAGATCAAATATGTTCAGTTAGAAGACTTCTTGTTTTCTTTTTTTTTTGGTATGTTCTACAAATCTCACCTAGAATCTATACTTCTACCAATTGCCAAAGTGTTATGTGCATGAGATCTGCAACCCCAAGGCACAAAATAGAAGAATTTTCAATGCAGAAAGAACAATGATCAGGCACTTCTCTGCCTAAAGGGACCCCAAGTTAAGTCAAATTTACTCACCACAGTTAAATGTTCCAGTAAGTATGCCACATCAACCATGTCCGCCAGAATTAGAAGCCTTGTGACAGCTGTAAGCAGACATCGTGCTGCTTGGACAACAGCTTGCCTCTTAGGCAGATAGCAGGGATCACTGGTAAATGCCTCTGCTGATACCTTTAAGGCTTGACCTGCAAAATGAAGACATAAATTCCCTTAGACTACATCACAACAGTGAGGTTGCCATGCCTTGAAATGAAGGTCAATTATTACAGATCATGCAGAATGCTCCACATTTTGAATTATGTCCCCGTCCTGCTCTTCTGAATCATTTAATTCTGAAATAATTCCTTTGGCAATCACACTGTTTCTCTTCACTGTACACAATGAGGCCAGGAGTGCTTTGTTAAACTTTTCCAGTCACTGCTTTTTATATTACTATATACTTTGCTGACCTTGCTATTAAATAATTGCTGGTTACAGAAGGGAATCAAATTTTCTCATTATAAATATAAGTTAATGGAATGAACATCTCATACACTTAAACATAGGACTGACATAAAATATGTGAAATCTATGCAGTGGAGCTAGTAACAGTGCCAGCAGACAACAATATATTGCTCTGAAACATGAAGTTTTGCAAATGAAATTTAACAGCGAGAACAATGACAAACACCTAAGTTTCCTTTCAGCAGTACAACACCTAGACTGAGGAAAAAAAATGCCATCACACACTTCTAAAAGCATTTTGAAGTCTATTATCACCTGAAGAGCTTTGCTAGTGATGGCACAACCTTGAGAGAAATCACTCCATGCAGAACAGCACTGGAAAAGTCTTGTTTTCAGCACAAACTGATTAAAAACAAAACATTTGACCCATTAAACTAACAGCTTGGAAACCAAAGACTGATCAAGAGTCACAAAAATGAATACTTTCAGCTGTGCTAAAATTAGGAAACATCATCGTATGTACTTTGTATAAATCATGTACTAACCAGTAACTACTGCAAATTTAGATACACATACAAAAATAAGGGATTTCCTGTAATTACACAGATACAGACTTTCATGTGCTCCCTCAATCGGAATTGAATGAGAACTATTCAACTGCACCAGTTTGCCTGACTGGTTCTATGTGTGACTTCATTTCTCAAGACTTGGAGACAAAACAAGTTTTACTGCTCTTAATAGAAACTGCATTTGAGACAAATACTGAGCAAAGGCTACAGAAATAAACCTATTAATTACTTCAAAGTCCTTATACGAGCACCTGAGATAATACCGGCCTGATTCTCAGAACACTGGATACTTCCAACATGCTGAAACTCATCTGTTTTACAGTAACACCCATCTTTAATAGTGCTGTTTGGTTCTCTCTTGGATTTGTTAGTCTCTGTGCAAATCACGTACCTTAAGTACATGCTTAGCAAACTCCATAAATAAATAAAAATCATACCAAACTGAGATCAGGTTCCAGCACCTGTTATATCATAAGCCAGTGAAAATAAAAAATACCAATTTCTTGTGCTCAGGACAGCAAGTTTGAACTTTTCTCTAGTAGTTGGTGAGATAATGCACCACAGCTGAGCATATCACAACAAATAAAACTACAGGAAATTAAAAAAATATCAAATATTAATCAGAATGACCAATGTTTAAGGTTTTTATTTCCCTATCTGCAGTGGACAGAAACACCTCTCCAGGTGAGTACCCCTTCCAGTACTAGAAGTTTCAAATCACTGATTTGAGTCCAGTGAGAGAGTAAATCCTGCTAACATGCATACATATCTTTATATGTAATTCTGAAGGTGACTACTACAAATATTAATAAATTAATAGCAATTTGGTAAGCTTTAGTATGATTTTAAGATGCTAACTCTGGAATTTCCTTGTGCCTTAATAAGAACCTGGGAAATATAATCCATACATACTACCATAAATCTAAAATCCTTGCCCTTTCATTTCTTTCATGAATAGAAACAATCAGCAAAGAATCCAAGAAAAAAAAAAAAAAAGAACAAAAACAAACAAAAAAACACCCTGAAATGAGAAGTTATAAAACTTACGCAAAAAAGACCAAGGAACTTGCAAGATAACTTCGCAAAACTGAGTGAGCCACAGCTCCAAAGCAGCAACAGTCCAGCATTTTCCCATCTGACTGACAATCATCTTGCCAGCCTTACTAGGGTAATAAATACATTAACACTTTGCTCAGTCACTCACTCTTAGCTGTCTACTGAATGCATTAGCCAATAACCAACTACTTTTTATTTTTTAAGTTCAGTAGTTCCTGCTAGTAGTCTCTTTGCACACAATAAAAGGGGTCCAAACAAAACTGGCCAGTAAAGCAGAGCTACAGATTTGGAAGGAACTGGTTGGGAGTAGAAGTTGAAGTACTCAGTTGTGAGAAGCCAGACAGGAGTGAATGGTGAGCCCAGAGAACTGCATGTGCCTTCCAGAAGTCAACGTTGTTGAAGGCTATTGTGCCTTCCGGAAGACAACAGCCATATAATCCATATGGTGGCCTTCAAGCACCTGAGAAATTTTGAAACCTCAAATAGTTTAAATCCTGAAAATAGTACCATTTCAATACTGGTATTTTCTGGGTACTTGAGCTACAAATATGATTAAGGGACTAGTGCACCTCCCATATGTGGAAAGGCCAAAAGAGCTGAGGACAGTTCAGGGTGGAAAGAGAAAGCTCAGAGGGATCTTATCAGTATATATAAATACCTGAAGAAAGGCTCAGAGAAGATGGAGACAGACTGTTCTCAGTGGTATCCAGGACAGGGCAAGAGGCAATGGGCACAAACTGACACACAGGAGGTTTTGGCTGAACATCAGAAAAGTATTTTTTCCACTGTAAGAGTGACTTAGCTGTGGTATAGGCTGACTAGGTAGGCTGTGGAGTCTCCATCCTTGGCAATACTCAAAAGCTGACCGGACATAGTTCTGGGCAGACTGTTGGCCCTGCCTGAGATGGGCAATTGAACCAGATGACCTTCTGAGACCCCTTTCAATCTCAGTGCTTTAGTGACTGAGTGTGTGAGCAAGGACAAGACAGAAGGATGTGAATATGACTAACTCCTTAGAAATAAGTTGGACATAAGCTGCAATGGCTGGATGAAAACTATAAAATCATGACCCTAAAATAGAGGTATGAGATGCAGGCTAGGCAGACAGGAGCTATGAGTACAAGCAGTAGAAAATTACAGCTCCAACAACAACATGATGTTAGAGCTGTCTTAAAATGGAGCACACAGCATGACAGGTTGATGCAATTTTATCCATTTTATTGTAACTCTCATCAAGTGGACGCTCTTCCACAATTACACGTCACAGTTAAACATGGAAAACAGTGCCCTTTTAGTGGCACACAAATAGGGAAGCAGAAAGATGGGAGAATTATTTCAATTATTTTAGACATTCAAATGAGAAGTAATTCAAAGCACCAAAGTCAGGAAATATCGTAACTACATAATTATTGGAAGACAGATACTTCCAAGAATGCCCACTGATTACACACGCACATACACAAAAGGATAAATAAAAACAAAACAAACAAACAAACAAAAAAAAAGAAAACCTATGCTCAGGCATGGGGAAAGATAGAAACACAGTTCCCACGTAATTTTTAAAAAAGTTAGAGGATCCATGCACTATATCCAGCACCAAAAATATCCAAAAACTGTCACTGCAATTCCTTTAAAAACAAAGTAAACTGTAATCCTGTTGGTAAATTTGCTTTTGGTAAATAGCTGACAAAAGGCACACACTTCTGCTGGGCTGCTGGCTGATCGCAGGCAACTTGTCTACACAGACACTTGCAGGAACACCAACTGCAGTCAGTGAGCACCACTTAGAGACAGTGTTCAACATCACACTCTGACAACAGCTAAATGTTCTTTATTGGTTTGCACAAGACCATCAGAATTATGCTTTCTTCTTTTATTTCTCTGAATAGATTTTTTTCTTCTAAATCCCATTTAAGGACCACATTTCCATTTGTTTTTACATCTGGCTTTCTCCTCTCATTTTTTATTTTTTAAGAACAACAATGTGAAATCCACATGGAATGCAGTGAATTTATGCCATTCTTCTATCCTCCCACAAAGAGGTATTGTTGCCAAGAAAGTCCACTCCTCTGAACTGCACCCTTAGAAGCTGGTGGATCTACGGTTCCAGAGAAATACAGTTGTAAAAAGGAGCTAATTGACTAGAGGAGGGAAGGACATTCCAGAGTCATTAAAAAGAGAGGATTTTGGATGTCCTAGTCTCAAACTTGACAGAAAATGGGGGGGTAATCTCAACGGCTTATACTAATAATAGAAAATTTACAAAATGATTTACACTACTATTTGCAAATTCAATTTCCTTAGGCATGAACTAACACATAAGCAGAATCACTACCAGAGAAGGTTGGGAGTCCATGTCACATTAGAACACAAAACAAGCTACCCTTTCCAAAAAAACAGGAGATTAAGCAATACTAGTAACTGGTATAATCATCTGTTCTGCTCCCACAAATACCATCTCCATCTGCTACAGAAAATAAAGGATCCTGCTTCAGCCAGCCAGCTGTAAGTGACACTGTGTCAGGGCAAAGCAGATCGATTCCTTCTGCATGTTCCTAATATTCAACACCATAACAACTCAGATTCTCACAACAGCTTTCTGTAGATATTAAAGGACATTTTTCTTCTGCCACACAATCTCTTACCCACTCAGATACCACTGTATTCTGTTGCACTGCAATTATTTCAGAACTGCATTCCAGGAAGTTCCACTTCCACATGGCATACAGTTCTTCCTAATGTGTAACCAGAGCCACCACACACCCCCTTCATACCTTACACCCATCTCTTCATTCCCCTTTCCCACTCAGGAACACCTGATCCAATGATGGTGATGTCAGAAGCTTTTTTACAAGGGATCTGTTCTTGGTTTGATTAAAAAGGTGTACAGCAGGTTACTCTGAACCACTTGACTGTCTAAATTCTGACGCCCAAAATGAAAGTCCCTTTGATGCAGACCATACGCATGTACCTCTTAATGCAGAATGAGAAAACTAAGCTTATTTTTAAGACTTTTTGGGGGACAAATAAGAATATAGTATAATACAAGAGATCACTGTCCCCTTCGTGTAGTAAATAACCTTACAGTATGCTCCCCATCTTGCCTGTGAATGGTAGTTTCTTCTGCGCCATCAAAGTCTTGTCTCCCCTGTTTAATGCCAAAAGACATTAAACATGGACATCTGAAATACCTTTCTTTTTCTCTTTTTTTTTCCCAATTTCCTTTTAAAGGGTAACTGAAGGCTCAAAATGTAACTCCAACAAGTAACTTGCTTTGAATTCACTGTTATGTGTGATGAAAGGCTTATCTAGGAACATGCTTGGGCCTGATAACAGCTAAACACATGGAACATTGACATAGCAATAGACAGAAACAACTCAGACAACAACTGTTGTGATTCTGACCATATATAGTCAGTAGGCAATGGCAATAAATAACAAACATTTAAGCTATGCCTGTACAACTGTTTGAAATCTATAAGCAACCAAACCTTGACGTAAATGCAAAAAATCACTACCCTATGTATAACGCTTAGACTTTAATGCAAATTCCTAAGAGAACATTTCCCTACACAAACTACATTGTTTGTCTTAAAATTGATTAAATATCAGAACTGGGACATCAGTTATAGGCTGATATATAGCGTCAGCAGCATTCATGTTTGAACAATGCTTAGAACCATAGAATCATAGAATAGTTAGGTTTGGAAAGAACCTTAAGATCACCTAGTTCCAACCCCCCTTGCCATGGGCAGGGAGACCTTGCACTAAACTATACAACCCAAGACTCCATCCAACCTGGCCTTGAACACTGCCAGGGATGGAGCATTCACAACTTCCTTGGGCCTTGCTTCTTACTTCCTTGTGTAGAAGTCAGTTATTTTATCATTAATTCACAGCACATTATGAGTCAGAAGGCAATTTTTTGAAATCTGGCAGCAAGAATTTTTCAAAGTACTTGTATTTGGGTTTATTACACTACTTCAGAATAAAAATGTGAACATGAGTACCTTTAACAAAGCTTCACCAAACCAGATCAACAGGAAAACATAGCATTTCTAGGTGATGCACACAGTCCACCACCCAGAAGTCTGCCTGATGACTCAGTCAGTAGAATTACAGAAAGTAAATCAAGATGTGGATGGACATAGGCCACGGAGGTAATGCGGGAAGACGGGTAAGTCCAACGTGTACCTCAAGGGGATATGATTTTAGGGGAAAACAGCCAATGTTTGTGTGTGTGTGTATGTATACACACATATATATATATATGTGAGACAAAAGTGATGGTATATTGAAAAATGTGGGATCTGAATGGCATGAATGGTATGGAATAAGGGGAGGATACTGTCCTGGGTTCAGCAGTAGCAGTCATTTTTCTCCTTCTTAGTAGCTGGTGCAGTGCTGTGTTTTTGACTTTCAGCCTGGGGACCAGAGAGCAAAGATTTTGGAACGTCACCAGAGGAGGAGGTGATGTGTACTGAAGAGGAGAGCAACTGACAACGCAGAGGTAAACCCATCTGGGCTGCTCCACTGTGGCAAGGTATCACTGCCTGGGTGCAGAACCTGGTGGTGAAGGCCAACGGCCTTTTGGTATTGCTGCTTTGGAGACAGAGAAAGTGGCCAGTACTTTATCTCCAGAGCTGAGGTAGGTTTTCCATCCCACTTTCTCATGTCTTCTCCGTGATCTCATAGGTAAAACCATAGGGTGGCCCATGGTGTGTACCTCCTGTATCTTCTCTCTTGAGCAGTAGGAAGCCTTTAAGCTTGATATCATCATCATACTGGCTGCAAAGAGAGTCCACTGTTTGTTGAAGGTGTCCCAGGACCACAGAGAAAAATGACTACTACTGCTGAACTCAGAGCACCCCTTATTCCATAACCAGTTGAGCTTCCTTTCTCAAGAGGAAGTTCAAATGAAAAGGTGGAGGCCCTCTATATTAAAATGATCAGCTCCAAGACTATACATCTGTAATAAAACTTTGCAGATGTCAAAAGAAGCAGAAACTAGATCTCTTCAGGGAACATTCCTGCCATTCATTATAGCAACACCTCCTTCTAGGTATCACTAATGGAACTCATTTGAGTTCGAGAGACCAAAAGCTCATCTACTGACAGCATCTGTCAAGACTGAACTGTAGTCAGCAAAGCCATAGCCATGTCCCCATTTCTGAAGACATTAAATGAGTCACTAATGCATCAGATGAATTAAATATGACAAATCTTCTATTTATCTTACCTTCACTGTTCACTACATCCTAGTTTGCCTCTTTCTTCCCCAAAACATTATTATAAGCAACATTAGCGGCAGCATCTTGGAAAAAGCCTATCACTCCTCTGAAAGGAATCCCTATTAATGAGCTCCAAAAGTATCAAAGCAGCGTTTTCATACTAGCAAATGACATTCAAAAGAAAATAATTTAATACTCATGTTACGTTTTCAACTCAACAAGCTGAGTGACACAAGCAAAAACACAAGAATTGGTTAAGAGAGTATTTATTATTTCCAGATGGTATGCAACTCTGGGAATGACAGTTTGGTTCACATATGAGTGAAAAGACAAGCTGTAGCTGCATGTGAAAATTCATCTTATTTAAGAGCATGTTAATAAACACAGCTGCTAGTCACCACAAAAGTATGCCCACGGACGTTTAAACACTATATGCTATGACATGCATGGCAGGTGACTGCATACAAGCACAGTTTATGATCCACATCTTTTAAAAGAGCTTGAAGTAAATAACATGAGGCATTTAACAGCAGCAGAATGTGGCCTGAGTAACAGGCAATAAAGTTACATATAAAGCAGCATACCACAAATCAAAAATGATACACAGCTTCAAAAGACTAAAAATATCTGCAATATTAGCAAACTGCTATTTAGTTTACAGTTGTCCACCAACTTCTTAAAATTAACTTCTGCAGTTTGGCAAATTCTTGGGAGGAAGATCAGCTGTGAGCACTCAATTTGTCATTGCGTAATTGTAGGTGATAACACGGACTTAACTTTCTTTTAAAATGTATGAGGTATAGATAGTCTACTTTATATTTTATTTTTGTAGTTATCTCTGGTCTTGGCTGAGAATAAATAAAGAAAATGTGAATTTTTTTTATATTATCTATGCATAAAAATCAATATGAAACTATGTATTTTATTCTTGTGTTACCTGCCTGGAATGGATGGGCGAACTTTAAGAGTATTCCAAAATTAATGATTTTTTTAAAAGCTTCAGCTGATCAGTGTGACAGGTAACAATGACACTTGCTGGTCATAACACTTTTAATCACAAAGGACCTTAAGGTATCTCAGACACCATACGCATATATGTAAAATGCAGCCACTTCTGGATCCAGAGGAAGCCAATAGCTAGTAATCATTACCCTGAACAACAGCAGAGTCCCAGAAACTGCCCCTGCTGCATATCGAAGATAACAAAAAACAAAACAACAACCAAAAACAAAAACAAAAAACCCCAAAAAAACCAAACCCAACCCAACCCAACCCGATTAAGTTGCAACTTTAGTAACAGCAGGGTGATATAAAGACCCAATTTAAGCAGCTAACACAAGGTCCTTCAGGTACAGGGAAGATTTCTGGTTTTAAATTTTTTACTAAAAGGCCTTAAACCCAGATACAGGTAAATAGGTCTTTTAAAGAGCATTAAAGCATGCATTAACTTAAGCTTGTGCTTAACAGCCACTAAAATTAACACTGTGCAACCTGTCTTACGTGGAATGTTTTTCCACAATGGCGTCCAGCTTGCACACTTTACCTCCTTATAAGTGGCATATGAAAACATACAATCAGACAACTCAAAGTTCAGACATTTGCACATCATAATATATTTCAAATTGATATCCTAGCTCATTTTGATAGTGTTACATGGTTAAACTAATTCCTTGTGGTGCCTAGATTAGTTTTCATACACTTACTCTCTTTCTGGACATCAGCAAGTGCTGCATGAAGTTCTTCTTTAAACACAGGTGCTTCCTTGGCAATTTTTTCCCCCTTGTCCAACAGATTCCATGTGGCTTCTTCCACAGAAGCTAACAAGACACGAGCTCTTTTGGAACGGCCCTTTTTCTTACTAGAAGGATTCTGTGGACAGTTCACTAGCGTTGTAACCTACATTTAAAAGAAACAAAAAAGACAATAGGGGTGTAAGTTCAATATAAATTCACCTATGATAGTTCTCAGATTTAAAAAAATCAAATATAGTTAAGAATAAGCAGTGATGCTCCCCCTGATTTAGAGAGACAGGTAAGCTCAGAATACATACTGAGAACGGGCAAAACTACTGAATTGAATCTGACAGATAATTTTACAAAACATGCCTCATCTTTGTATTCTTTCTGTATGATCAAAGCAAAGTCAATAGAAATCTCACTGTCATTTTAACCCTGATGCAAATTCCTGAGACTGTTTAAAATTTCTTCATGATGAAAAACAATTCCTACTGCTACCTAAGGAAGCTTCAGCCAAGGCAGGAATTATAATCAGTGATGAATCTTTCCATCTCCCAAGCCATGGCAGAAGTAAATACTCCAAATGAGCACAGACACATTTCAAAATGCTTTCTTCTCTTACAAAGCAAGACTGCCGTGGTCAGAACTCATCACCTCAGAATTCTCAGGGGGCTCTCAACATTATAATTGTATATAATTTTATCCAGAATGTAGGTTTACTGCAGCATTGTTCAAATTATGTTTTTTAACAATGCACTTCAACACCCATGAAGAGGTTATTTTTATACAGCATCCCACTCCACATTCCTCATCATCTGAGCACAGCCCCCACATTCCAACAGAATGTTTCTAACAGACTGGTCTCTAGGGTTTTGCTTGAGCTGTCATGCTAAGGAAAGAATCTTAAAAGATTTAAAAATAAAAGTTCTATATAGGTATTTCAAAATATACTTACAAATATATATTATACTTTTTAATTATAATAATTTTTATTTTTTAAATTATACTTTTTAAATATACTTTAAAATAGCTGCAGTACGGCTTGTGGTTTGAGCTGCTCTATGGAAAACTGCTCCATTCATGGGTAAATGTGTGCTAGCTGTGTCCTACCTCACCTCCACATCTTTTTCATGAAATCACACACTTTAGTGCTTTTCAAGAATCAGTAGTTTTAAAAGTAACTGACAAACATCCTCTGGGAAGCATTTCTATAAACACATCTCTGATGTAGGGGTCAGGGCTTTTGCCTTTCATTCATGTGGAATTGTGGGGGGGAAAAAGCATCAGCCACTTGACATCGATGATAGGGCATGTCAGAAGGAAGACAGTAACATATGTAACTCTAGCTCAGACAGTTGAAGAGGACTTGGGTATCTTTCTGACTCTGGCTCAAAGAAAGCAAATGAAATTATGTATTGCACATAAATCAGCCAGCTGATAGAGAATGCACTGTGAATAATAATCTTAATATCTTTTATTTTTTCAAATCCTTTAAAATTATTTCTAGAGCATTTAATGCAGTTTCCATAATCATATTTTTTAAAGCAGTTAAAGAGAGTATGGGCTGATACTTCCAACAACGAAGACATAAAACACTGTAAAAAATTAGATATTGCCCCAGAAATATATCAAGTAAAAGACTTTGTGTCTTAACTATTTAATAACCATTCCCAGAAAAAGCATGTTATTTCTCAGATTTTTACTGTAGTCTCCTCTATATGCAAAAAAACATTATGTGTACTGTTCACTCATATTTTTTGGAGGAAAGGAAACAAAACAAAAGGAAAAATATGAAAAATGATTCCTGCAGGTGAAAACTCTTGACTGTAACACTTCATCTTCAATTGCCAGGAAGTATCAGAAGCAGCTTCTGAACTCAAATACAAGTCAAAATTTGATAGGTCATTCTTGGCTCTTGGAGATTAAGTAATACAGAACTACTCTGAGTTTTCTAACAGAATCCCACTAAGGAATGCAAAAAGTTCACGCAGATCCTACATAGAATGGAACTACACAGTAGCTAATATAGTGTGCCCCTTTGATCCACTGTCAATACAGCTTGTGCTGCAGTGGCAGAATACCAAGTCAAAATGCTATCTTTATAGAAAAAAAAACAAACAAAACTAAACAAACAAACAAAACAAAACACCCCCATTAATCCTGCTTATGCCCAATTGCATTTCCCAGTTATTAACACCTTCTTACAGCCATATTACAGCAGGTTGCCAAAGGTTAAACTGCCATCATTGTCCAGAGGTTGTTTTGCATCTCTGGTAGGAATAACAGAGCTGTATTAGAAGCACAAAGCTTTAAGTGATATTTTCAAGCCCATATGCCATCACAGCTGCAAAGCTGAATTGTGATGCTGTTGCCTGTTACTGGCATTATTTATTAGGCTGAAAGGGTGGGATTTCTTGTCCTGATTATCCCAAATACTGAATTCCCAAGGAACTGTGCAGCAGTTCTTCCAATGCTATATTCAGTTCCTGCCAGCCCTTATAGACCATCTTTTAATGTTGCAGTAGTTAAAAAAACAACGCCTTGGTACCTTGGGTATCAAAAGATTTGGTTGACCTTTTCTGCTAATAAAAAAATATTTTAAAACATCATAAAGGTTTTTTTGTTTAAAATTATTTTCAATGTAACTACAACCCCTAGATATTTTTAGAAAAACAAGATATGAACTCAGTGATCCAATGAGAACAGCAGAACTGTTTCAAACCCTGCTCACTGTTTCAATTCCAGAGTATTGCTCATACAAATAAATACTGGTTAATCACTTTCAGTGTGCATAAAGCAAACTCACCACAACTAAAACTCATATTACATCATCAAAACTCATCAAAACCGAAATACAACATAAAACTAAAGCCAACAGTGTTAAGTTTTCTGTGTGAGCAGACTTCTGTCAGTGTGGATGACAGGTGAGAGTAAACAACTTTCAACTTGCCCATTTTTCATCAGCGAAGCAAGAGACTCCAAAATACATGGATGTTTCTACATACTTTGTAAAACGTACCTATCTCTTGCAGCCATAAACTTTCTTTAGCTCACATGTTTGCATAAAATATAAAGACATGGAAGGAAGAGGTTTTGAGGAGGAAAAACTCTTACAAATACTTGCTTATGTATACATACACACCTAACACATATATTAAGTATGTGTTTATAAATAAATATATAGAAAGAGCTTTAGCTACAATATCCAAATAAGTAGGAAATTCACAGCTTGTAAGACTTGCAACGACTGCAAAGACAGTTAGGAAGTGTTTCCTACATTAAGTGATATGAATCTCATCAAGTTGTATCTTTCAAAACTTTTACTTGTAATACAGTTAGCTACAGAAGCAAGTTTATACCTAGCCATAACTGTAATCATTACATAGTATAGCAGAGAGATTAAACAGACTTGAGTGTCTCAGGATGACAAAACAAGAGAATATTTTCCATTATACTAGCTGTTATACGTTGTGAGTAAATCTAGCAGAAGCATAACAAATACTAGACATCAACTATGCAAATGAAAGTCCTTTATGATCTACTGATCACACTAATTCTCCATGACACAGTGCATCTCTAACCTCTAAGAAAAGCCCGCAATTAAGGAACAATTGTCTGAGCAAGTATGCAATTTATATTAAGGCAGCTGGCAGCTGAATTATGTCAATTTGGACAACTATCACTTTTAATGTGCCAGACACATTGTCAGAGAACTTTACCTGAAAGCCATCCTTTCAAAACTAATACCCTTAAAGCACCTGGAATGAAATAATGGCCACAGACAGATGTAACCCCTTCTGGTGAGGAGGCAATTGGGATTAAATAAAAGGGATTAAATAAAATTTTCTGCAATATACAGAAAACAAAGTAATACAGCCCCATGAGAATACAGATTATAAGGTTGGTCACAGAATTACACTAATGCAGTTATGCCATTTCTAACATACGAGTTTCCCTTTCTGCAGAGCCATTTACAGCACTTTCCACTCAATATGTAAGTTTCCCTCCCACAATCCTGTTATGAAACAAATAAAGCATTAAGGTTAGGAGGAGGAAGAGACAGTCAAAATTGAATTCTCTTTGAATCAAAGCATTTCCATTTTTGACAACTCGAGCCTTTTAAAGATGCTTGAGAAGAGCTTTAAAATAACGTATTAAAAAAAAAAAAAAAAAAAAAAAACCAAACCAACCCTGTTTTGTTTTGTTTTAGAACTGTATTTTTTTTATGTCAGGGGGGCTTGATCCTACAGAACTCAGGCCAAAATTTACATTTCTTCATCTCCTCTAAAAATAGCCACAGTGTTGCGGCTGCTTGAGCACAATCAGGTGTACTGGTATACAAGAGAAGGTTTTAAAATGCAGTCTATGAAGACCTCTACTCCTAGTACTCTGAAACTGATTTTATAATCCATCCTCTTGGGACGCTCCAGCTTGACAATTTCCCACAAACCACTGAACTGTTAACTGAGGTTTTAGACACTGTCGATCACACGCAAGCAAAAATAAATAAAAACAGAAAAAATGCAAGAAAGGCAGGTGGAAATGAAGTAATGATAGAAAGAAAAAAATTACTTTCTGGAGAAAAGAATCTTCCAGAAGGAACAAATGAGTAAGGGAAGAAAAGAAGATCAAAATAAGTCAAAAATACAAGAAGAAATTTCAAAGACTGTAATGAAAAAGGAATGAAACTGGATGAGTTAGTAAGAGGCAAAAGTTTCAAATTGGGAAAATACAACTTAATTAAAGAGAAACTTACTTCAATAAATTAAATTATTTTTAAAAGCAACTTTTCCTGTAACTAAAACACGATCGGTACTTCTTTGCTTTTCCTAGCTTTTAGTGCACATAGAGCACTTCTGGAATAAAGGACTTTTCCAACATGACAGTCCAAATAAACATATGAACCATCACACCAAACATACTCATAATTTTATTGTCCTCATCTTTCATCTCTGTATTCTTCTTCCCTCCAATCATTATGTGCTGCCTCTTTAATTAGAATCTGACTGCTCCCCTCTATCTGGTCACCATTCTTTGGCAAGCCCAAAGAAACACCATGCAAAGGACTGGCTCCAGACAAAGAAGGAAAGATGTCATCACAGCAGTGTGTGTGAAAAGAAGTGCACTCCTCGAACAAGAAAATTTACCATGTACCTAAGT